ATGATCTTCTGCTAAGAAGGTTTGCTATACTGTCTCTGAGCTTGTGCAGAGACTTGCAATCTGTTTCATTTCTCTATAAGTTAGTTCATTACGGAGTCGATTGTCCGTTTCTTCTGGAACAATTACGATTTCATGTGCCCCGGCTGGAAGGGAGACATCAATCAACTTTCTTACCGCAGTTGCCCAGGTCCAATATCCATTTTCAAAACCCTATTTACAATATGTCTGCTACCTTCAACCAACTATCATCGTACTGCGATTTATATTATGATGGTCTCCAGGCGATACTTTGGCACCTTCGATTGGCGTCGTGTTGTCCGTACCGATAAGTCTTATCATTTTCTTTCTTATTCTTTCCTCCTTTTTTTTTAGTTATAAGATTAGTAGATTTAAGGTTAGTTTCTACGTCAACTGGTATATATATATATATATATATATATATATATATATATATATATATATATATATATATATATATATATATATATATATATATATATATATATATATATATATATATATATATATATATATATATATATATATATATATATATATATATATATATATATATATATTCTCACGTATTGATTCACGGATGGAAAAATGTGATGACACTATATTCCGGGATATCATCCGTTCGCTCGTTGAACTCCGACTGGAATCCTGCATCCGACTGGAATCCTGCAAATCTTGCATCCGACTGGAATCCTGCAGACGTTTCGCCAAAATCTCACTTGGCATCTTCAATGCTCGCGCTCCGAAAACACTTCGAACACAGTGTTCGAAGTGTTTTCGGAGCGCGAGCATTGAAGATGCCAAGTGAGATTTTGGCGAAACGTCTGCAGGATTCCAGTCGGATGCAAGATTTGCAGGATTCCAGTCGGATGCAGGATTCCAGTCGGAGTTCAACGAGCGAACGGATGATATCCCGGAATATAGTGTCATCATATATATATATATATATATATATATATATATATATATATATATATATATATATATATATATATTGAATGATTCATATTTAGTATTTCCTGTAATTGGGTCATCTTACCTGTTGGAAATAAAGTGCTATTATTATTATAAGTGAAGAAATGGAAATCAATGTTGTGCGATACGTCAACGTATCTCAAGCAGTTTAAAAGTTATATAGTGTTCCCACTTTCTTGTGTCAACCAGTATATTTCGCACACAATTATGGCGGTCCATGGCTACCTTAAGGTAACCTATTTTTGATAATGTCATAATAATCCAATTCATAGTATATAAAATAGAGGCGACGGTTAGTACTTAGGTCTAGTAAAAAAAACCTTTCGAACACCCTGCAGAGTGTAATCAGAGTTTAACTAACGTGTATTTCAGATGACTTTTTCAGGTAAAACTAAAAACTTATTTCTACCACCGACTTTGCGTTCCTTTTTTTTACAGTCAAGTAAGTTTAGTGACTTCACCGCGGATCAATTGGAGCTTAGTCAGGCTTTTCCAGTCAAAAATATGCCGCGAAAATCTCAGATCTGCAACTGAAGTAATTTAATTTCTACGAGTTTCCGAATTGATTAGGCAAAGTTCAAATTTGGCGTTCGTAAATTCGAGTCTTCTACAAAGACAATTTTTAAAGAGAGATGTGCATCAAATGTATTACGGCCGAAAATTTTCCAAGTGTTTAATTTACCGATTTTGTAAAGATGCTTGGACCACTAATCCTGGCTTATTTTTAACCTCTGGCTTGTCCGAATCCCTGGATTAAACTTTAAAATTTATGACTTTTACGAGATTCGAATGTAAATTCAATGATCGTCCTAGGAAATTTGACGGGGCAACCCAGATTGGTTCCAATCAGCCAGTGGCGGAGAAATTAAATTTTAAATAATAAAAACAATGAAGATATTATATTATTTTTGCTCTACTTCGTCAGGTCCAACTCTAATCATCGATCCTAAACATATGATTATTTAAAATACTGAACTGAGATGGCTTTTACTTGATGAAAATCCATTTAACAAAATAAATAAGAACTAACGATTTTCACGAAATTATATATTTTCACACATTTTCACAATGGTTTCGACAACATCTTGTCTTTATCAAATATAATATTTACAAACTACCTGCTACTATATATACCGAAAAATGACCATAAAACCATAATTATTGTTGTTGTGAGAATTTAAGTTCAATAAAGGAGAGGTATTTAAATCTAATTGATCGTTAAGCAATACATTTGAATGTCTCATTTTGTTAATCTCCATGGCTTCGAATAAATTTAATTTTCTACTTTTTATGGCTGTATGTAATATATCAAAATTGTCGTCAAAAACGTGTTTTTCTGTGTTTAAGTGTGTAGCATAATTAGAATCTAGACTATTGTTTTTAAACGCTCTTTTATGTTCGTTAATGCGTTTCTTGAAGGATCTACCTGTTTGTCCAATACAAATTTTAGGACAAAATCCGCATTTCAACCTGTCGACACCTAATTTTTGAGATTTTGGATATTTCGTTTTATTGTTTTTAAAAAAAAATTCTATTATTAGTTCTGAAAGCTATTTTTAAACCACATTTTGACAAATGTTTTGAAATTTTTCACTGGGTTCTCCTATGTATGTAATTGTTTTTTAATTGTTCGTGTTCTGTATTAGGTTTCTGATAAATAGGCATTTGAGCTGTCATACACAGTCATACATAACAGCTCAAATCACCCTTATACACACAAAATGGCAGCATTTTACTCTTTTATACACAGACTTCTTAATACGCCACTCTCAACAGAAAATTATAGATAAAATTATAAATAAAAAACAAATCCGTGAAACTCTGATCTGTTAGTTCTTATTTATTTTATTTAAAATACTCATCGGATTTCAAGTATATACCATGAATCCGTAAAATTTACACCTGATTTTAGAAATTCGGAGAACATCAAAATTACACGAGATGTCAAAATTTGAGACACCATCTTAAGAACTAAATATTATGTTGATTTTCATATACATGGATCAAAACTAAAAGATCAGACAACCGCCCAAAATTAATAATTTAATTATCTAAATAAAATATTTTTCACTGATGGTTTATCCATGAAATTATTATAATTCAATATAATTAAACAAAAACAGTCATAGCAACTTTTTTAATTTGTATTCTCGATTCGTTTGTTTTTTACTAATGCATTCTTGAGGTTTATATTTCCCTTCCACAGTTGTTTATTTGAAAAATTTAATCTTAACAATGCAAAAAGGCGTTTTTTTGTGAGTACCTATTTTATGTCCCAAAGATTACTTTAAAATTATGATATCGCCTCGTTAAAGTATTACCCGGCGAACAAAGTTTGCCCGTATATCCTATAAAAATACGTAAATGACAATTTTGTTTTTCAGAATTTTTGATAAGGTTTTGGTTAACCTCGGAAATAGCTCTTTTTTAGTAAAGAGGTCGCTATCGATTTACACGCAAAGGCGAATCTATATCCCGTTTAACGTCGCTTTGGCCCGGGAAGACATTTTTAAGGAGCCATTTCTGTAGCCGATTTTCGTTGCTTCTTCAAACTTCGATAAATTCAAATGAAAAATAGAAAAATGTGAGTGTTCACATTTTAGAGTTTCAATTTTAATCCTATTTCTTAAATTTCACAACAAAAAAAACTACTCAGAAAAGAAATAAAAGGATAACATAATTTGAAGGGTATTTTAATCATAACTTAAAATCATTTAATTTAATAATTAATAATTTAATCATAACTTAAAACTTTCTGCACGGAGCCATCACAAACTATCATTGTCAAATATTTTGGTAAAATTTAACATTTATCATTTAACGTAACGAGAGTCTTGTATATATTAGTATATTAAAGTCTATTTACTTTTATCATTCCCATTTGTTAATAAATATTTGTTTTTATTCCCAGTTTTTCATTTTAACTTCATTCTTAATTGTTCTGTATTCCGCAGCATGTACTTTTACATACTTATACAGTGTCTCCACTGAAGTTCGCATGATATAGGAACATTTTCTATTAGTTATTTTTGTCAAATTTGATCCTTGTATTTTTTTTTAAGTTTGTACAAACTAACGCGTTTTTGGTGCATCCAAATTTAAAGAAATAGGAATCAAACTACTTAGATTCACTTTTTTTTAATTTAACATAAACACTTAATTTCAAAGAAAATTTTCAAATGCACCTATGGAAATCGTCGAAGTTGATATGGTTTTATATATAAATAAAGAGTTTTGTTGACTTTATTACTTATTTAGAGCGGGAATTGACTTAAGGAATCCAATAAAAAAACAATAAATTATTTATTGATGATGGAGATATGTTTTTAATGATTTTTTTATACTTTGTGACAAATTCCTGATTTATTATGAACAGTGATTCGTGGTTTAGTTATTACCGTTAGAGTTTTAATTCTTTCAAACAAGATACATCACACTAGTAATCTTTTAAATGTGTATTGGAGTACTAAATTTTATTCCTAATCGTATTTAAATATCTTTTGTTTCTTACAAATTTATAATTTGGCATTACAACTGTAGAATTTTATGTCGTAATCAGTCAAGAAATCTCAAAAAATATTACTAATTCTGACAAATAGTTTATAGTGTTTTTGTTGTTCGAACAATCCTAGTGTCGAGGTGCCTTTTAAGATCAAAGGATATTTTAACCGTTGCATTTACCAGCGGCAACATTTTTTTACCTTTACGTTACGTTTTAATTAACCACAACAACAAGTAAGGCCGTTGCATTTAGTTTAGCTTAGGTCCGAATTGCGAAGGACTAAAATTATTCTCAAAATGCAACGTCAAATACTCTAATTAAACACAGGAAGATTTAGTAATTTCGGCACCGTTCTTCATTTTCTCACCCTTTTAAAATACTTCCTGTTTATTCCTGTTAGCTTCTCCAGTCATTAAACTAGCCGTATTAATGAACTCTAAAAGCGTTTTTGGTAATTAATAAATTGTGCCCGCAGAAAATGTTAAACGAATTTTGTTCTACTCACCTGCCGCTTTTGAAGTAGCTATTATTTCGTAGAGGACAAGGAGTATCGGGAAAGCCTTTTTAACACGATGATTCATTTTCGGTAAAGGATTTCTAATTATTCGGGAACTATCCCCAGGTATTTATCCATCCTGAAACAATGAAATTTCATTACCGACTTTATGCAACCAAAAGTATTCCGTTCAGTGATGTCGTCGGATAACCGCGAACTGGGAAATAAAAAAGTTTCATGTTTGTGGAAATCTAGGAAGTTAATCTGCTTCGTACACAAGTGATCAGACGATTTCTCTGAAGTCCTAGTCACAAATTGCTTTGAAGTTTTCGATGTTTGAATTATAGAAAGGCTAACGTAGGTCGAGAAGCATGTGCTATTAATATGAATTCTTGTTAATAAGTTAACTTAAACCTTTTGGATTTATACTTAATTAAAATGTTTGCTTTTCAAGTTATTAAAAATCGACAAGGTTTGCAAACTTTAAACAACAATAATTATTTTGTTAGCTGCAGCAAAGTAAAGTCGGTTCATAGATATAAGAAAGTGACTAACTGATACGAGTTAAGGAAAGACCTGGGCAAGCTGTATGAATGAAATATGGCCGAACAGGTCCGTACTTTGCTTAGAGTTTAATTATTTGGGGTTTTGTTAGGAAAGATACTAAACAATATTTATTTCTTTATGTACGTATTTATGTTTAAATCTAAAATAAAATTGCAAATTATTTTTATTATCTACCTAAATTACTTAAAATTATTCACATAATATATCAGTATCACTATCGCTATCATCGCCTGTTCTAATTATTACTTGTTGCAACATGGATATACGATTGTTCTGCTTTTTCTATATGTTTAACAAAATTTGCCCAACTTTGTGGAGCGATGTTAAAAACTTCGGTTTCTATAAGTTTGAGGACATAGGAGTTAACACGGTAAAAAACATTGTTACGACGAATGGCAGATTTCAGTTGGTGCCAAACATGTTCAATGGGATTAAGTGTACAGTGGTAAGGTGGAAGTCTTAAAAGAGTATGCCCTAGATTTTTTGCATAATTATCACAGACGTATAATGCATTTAATAATAATTGTAACAGAAATGACCTTCACAAGTGGCGATTCTCTGGGAAAGGGGGTGTATAGTTCATTAATATCATTTTTACTGCATGTTTATCAAATATAAGTTTCCTAATATATTCTATTGTACCGCTGAATCAGTAAACCTCACCATATAGAGTTGTTAATATGGTATGTATTGTTATTATTATTATGTATTATGGTATGGTCATCGGCAATGTGCAACGATTTTTATAAAGAGTATCGAATAAACCGAGTTGTCTTCTTTCGTCGACGCTACACCAACATTACTGGAAAACATGTTTTGGGAAAAGATTAAAGCGACGTCATCGATCACAATTTTTATTACCTATTTGGACCATTGGAAAGTGGTTCGGCAGTTTTTTCCGTTTACTTAAAATTTTGAAAATTTATAAAAAGCTAACCAAAAATGCCTCAACCCTTAGGGCTTGTGTGTAATGGAAGATGACAATGGCAATGTGCTAATTTTTGTTCATACTTTAAACTCAGCATATGAAAGTCTTGTTTAATTTATGTATCACATGAAATAGAGTTACCCCTGTCGATACGCCACTGAGATGTCTCATGTCGAAATTGCAACAGTTTCACTGATTAAAAACTGTAAAACAATCGATGCAAACCCAATTTCGCCTCTGTAGGTCAGGATTAAGGGTGTCCTATTTCATACTTTGCATATAAATAATGGCATATTTCCGCCTATAATTCTTTATTAAGGAAGTTTCGAGAGAAAAATCGAACAGTGCGGCATTTTTGCCGCAAAACCCGGTAATCAGTGGTTAATTTTACAAAAGGGATTACACGTACTTGATGGTAAATAACGGGAATTGCCACGGATGCGGACTAATAGCGTAGAAGATTCGCTGCGATACTCGCTGTTCCGTGGGTTACTTATTTTTTTCCTTTTCCACAAAAGCGCGCGTTTTTCTTACCGAAAAATTATCGGAGTTAATGGCTCCTTCCCATAGTATGCATTCTCCTAAATGATGGATGAAAATTGCGGTAACGATTTGCAGTACTCCGTGAGAATCTTTGCGATTTTTATGCCGGAATGCCGCTTTTACTGGATCCATATTTCGGGAGTTTAATTGATATATTGGTAGGATCTTAAGGTCTTTTTTTCTCGCAAGTCTCGTACCGTGTTTCTTCATCCAGAAATAAAGTTCTTCGTCCCTTTACTGTCACCTTCATTGAATTAAAAGCGCGAGTAAGAAATTTTAATTGCAGAACTTTCGGCGCCGAAGTTTTTAAATAATCTCGAACGTTTTATTTTTGCGTAGATAATGCCCTGAGTTTCTTATTCGTCGATACTTTTAGGCGAATAAGTTTCTGTAGCCTTCGAAATTCTTACAACCAAGCTTTTTTTTCTTTGTTACATCGTATAAGAAAATTTTGCTGCGGGAGGTTGGAGAAAAATTATTTTAATGTTAATTTATAATCGTAGAATTAAATTCCGGGAACATTTAAATGTTTTCGCGTTTCGAAAAAGCGACTCCCAAATACTTTAATTATTGATGTAAATATGTATATGCCCGGGATAAAAATGTCTGCCCTTTTAGGCAACTTGGACCGGGGAATTTTTCAGGTAATCTGATTTTCCGCGCGAAATATGAGAAGCGTTTCGGTGAATTGCTTAAATCAGCTTATCCGCTTTTTTAAACATTTCGTAATTAAAAAACGGGATCTTTAGCGATTTCGTTTTATTTTTAAAATGATAAATTGCTCGTTTGATTAAGTGGTGCGCAGACGACCAAATTTAGTAGAAAAAAATTTTAGGTCACACAGGCAAAGTGCTTAGCTCATAAACTAACATAAAATACTACACAAATGAAATTGAATTGAAATTTGATTAGTTCATATACTAATCAACGCATTGGTTATTAGATGTTACTTCCAAAAAATAAGCACTGTTAAGGTGCCACTTTATTCAAATAGTATGAATCTCTAACTTCTAACCAACAACTGTATTAACATGAGTGTACTGTGCCTATTTTTTGTATTTGTGTCTTTTGTTTGTATTAGTTGGATGATATACCCCAAAAACCAGCCAATTTTTGAGAAGCTATTTTAATACTATACTGAGTTAATAACAATGAAAAGACCATCAGAAGAATAATTCACCCAACAAGGATGATTTCATTCCACCCATGGGTGGTCAAAACAAAAAATCAGTTTTAATAGAGTGTAAGAGCAGTTGAACAGTTTCGAAGGGAAAACCGGAATATCTATGATCTGGATGAAACTTGGGTAAATGAAGGCAAAACATGGTAGAATAAAAAATTAAAAAGCAAAAGACAAGCTTTCATGGAAGAATGGTTAATCGGAATAAAAGCACCATCGGCAAAAGGTAAAAGATTAATAACTACTCGCATTGGTAGCAAAAATGGATTTGTCATATTAATACTTTTACGAGTTGATAGGAGGCGCTTCATGTCAAAAACTGTTATTTTTATGATTTTCTCGAAAATTTTAAATATAATAGTATACATATTTTTAGCTAGGATGAAAGAGCGTAAAAATACACAGAAAGCAGTGGAAACGGCATGGCAATATCTTTTTTCCTCTTTGAGATATAAATAAAAATGTATTTATTAAACATATTTTTCAGCTGTAGCATAGCATGGGATGCTTATATTTTCTACTAGGGTTAAATTTGATTTTGTCTTAATTTGTCCATAATAATCGCCAAGAATCAATAATAGTTAAAAAATGTACAATATCCCCAAAGGAGCACTAAAATAATATAACTTTGATAAGAAAAAACCGAAAAAATAGATATATCGCTAATTGGTAATTTAAAATCTTTCATCGAATTTAATGGAGCATAAAAATAGGAATAGATGCATACACCCCGTTATATTTGAAGCATCGTAAATTTTTTACACATATTTTCTTTTTGAATAGTGTTATTTTAAAAAATCTCACGTACAATTTGCTCAATTGTAATAAAAAAATTAAGACGCAATCCTCTGTTCCTTCTAATTTTATTTTAAATCATTTAAACAACGATTATCCTTTATTTATGATGGAAAAAATGTGCCAAAAAAATTTATTAAAATTTTAGATATTTGTTTTACTACCTTATTTGTACACGGCACGCAGTTCAGCTGGGTTTTAGCCCTTGTATAGTAAATTTTACGATTCACTTCACGAGGTTCGTCTAAAATTAAAACGGAAACCCCTGTTTTTCTTTAGAATTCTTAATTTAAGGAAGTTGAAATAGTACATGCCTCGAAATAAACAAGAAAGGGCGTGGCGTTTATTTCAATTTTGGGAAAACTGTTTAATTACGCCAACTCATTCCTATCTAATTATTTGTCTGTGTTTAATTCTTATTTATATTTTAATGTAAACTTTTTTCGTGTCCGCTTAAATTAGATTGTTACTGTTTTAATTATTACACTTTTGTCGTCTTTATAAAAAAGCCCTACGCCACCATTTCTGTGCGATTTTAACGGGGTGTATTTGACGATGAAATTCTTAAGCCCTGTCAAATTTTCCGTCGATCCTCCAATTTTCGGACATCTCTTATCCATGTAATTATCGGAGAATTGATTCTGACGACTTATGAAGGGCACAAGATATCGTTATTGGGCTTAGCCAAGGATCGCTTCAGAAATGTTCGTTAATTGTTTTATACAAAAAAACTAAATTACTCCCTTGGCCGCTAAACACTATCATAAATAATTATAGATTCCGGATTTGGATCAATACTTAGCAACGTGGTAAAATTAATTCATTTCAGCTTTTTGGCCCCAATAAAGCTCATATTTCGTCCAAACATTCATTACGAGTATACCTTTTCTTTCAAAGATAGATACAAATAAAAATTCTACTCGACTTTATTGATACGGTCACTAACGGTCACGATTATATTACTTGGGAGTAAGAGAGACAGAATTATAATAATAGATCAGGGTATTCCTTACTGATACGGGAATATTTAAGTATAATACGACCAAAAATATAGTGCATTTATTTCTTTGACGTTTAAAGTATTTTACAGTACTTTAACTGCAGACCTTCGCAGGACCGTGGTAAA